AGGGAACGACGCTAGCTGCACCGGGGGGACGGTTGTGGGGCGCTCTGCTGGGGGGAGGTTGGAGGGTGCTGTACAGCAGTGCACGGGGCTGCTCTCCAGCGAGAGGGGGGAGCAGCTGGGCGCGTGGGAGGACATGCCCCCCCGGAGCAATGACACGGAACCTCCCTCAGCACAAGGGCAGCCCCAGGAGACAAGCCTGAATCTCAGCTCCAGCGGCGCCCACACTCCCTCCCTGCCGATGTTTGGGGCGCCCGAGGGAGGGCTTGGCCCGCTGCCCCTTCCATGCACCGGCCGGTAACACCCGCAGACAGGCCAGCTCATGGGGGGAGGGATGTTTAAATGGCGCTCCAGACCCCAGCCCAGCTCGCTCTGGCTGGGGCAGGAACAAGCAGGCTGCTGGGAAGTTCCTAAACATCCACGTCAGTCTCTTCTGTCCCCCTGCAGGGGTGCCCCGACCCTGCTGTGAGCCCGGGCAGCCCAGAGAACATGGCTGGGAGCTTCCACCCCCCTCACCGTTCCCGAGGTGCAGCCGGGACCGGCGACACTCAGCGCTTTAATCAACGTTACCCTAGGGAGTTTAGGAGGTGCTGGTCCCAGCCAGCGCTGGAGGGAACCCACCTGCAGGGGGCATGGCTCCCTGGTCTTTGAAGGGGGTAATTAGGGACAGCTGTGACATGGGCTCCCTGGCATGCTCAGATCATTGCCCGCAGGATGGGACAGGAACACGGACCACTGAGCTCAGACTGATGCCCATTACCAGCACCAGAGACCTCTCCTCCATCCCCTCCCATCACCCAGCCGGCCCCTGCACAGCAGGGCGCAGTGCGACAAGACACGTGGCTCCCAGGAGACTGGGCTGGCGGAGCGGGAGTCAGCGCTGGGACTTACCCCGGGAGCTGGACACTGATCAAAGCCCTAAGCCCAGGGGACACCGCCAGGCCCCCGGGGCAAATCTTTGCCCTGCCTGTTGCTCCAGGCCCCCAGCTGGGAGAGACGCTGGTTTGGCCGGGACTTGCTGCCCTAGAACTGGGGTGACGGGGACATGAGGGAAGCGGCTAAGCTGGGCGTTCCTAGGAGGAAGGGCACATTGGTGCCCAGAGGCCTGGCTGAGCTCCCTCCACACCTGCAGGAGGCGCTGTGCTGGCAGGGGTAATAGCATCAGCCCAACACGGCTCCCGGGGAGGGGCAGCACCACTCCAGGACAGTGGCCAGCCCAGCAGTTTCCTACCACAGGGATCCCGGCAACCCCACAGGCAGCCGGGGGGAGCAGCTCCCCCATCCCCTGCAGGCGGCTGCATCACAGGCAGGCAGTGCCGGTCACCGTGCCCACATCTCCCCTGATCCTGGCACTCGTTAAAGCAGAGCCATGGGGCTGGTCTAAGCTCAATGCAAACAGGCTGGACAAGCTTCGAGCCCCTCGTGCCCCCGGCACCAGCACGGAGCAGCAGGGAAGCGTGTGCCAGGACCTGGCCTGCTGCTCTGGGGTCATGGGACGGGTGCACCCAGGGCGGGGAGAGGGCTGGCCGGACTCCCTGAGCAGACAAGCCAGGTGCCTGGGACTACACGTCACCCTGAGGGAACGGAGGAGCCGCTCAGCCAGGCAGGGTCACGCTCCGCTCCAGCAGGAACTAGACAACAAGTCCCTCACAGCCTGCGGCCTGTATTAACCAACAGCCTCCCTCACTGCACCGGGCTGGACAGCCAGCACAGCAGGGTACTGGCTGCCCAGAGGCAGCTCCTGCATCCAGGCTCAGGGTTTACTGTCTCAGAACCTGCGGAAGGAAGGGGGCTGCGTTAATTCTGAGGGATGCAAGGTGGCAGCCCCCACTGGGCACACGCCCCATATCCCACCAGGAGCTGCCAGTCACAAAGGGACTCCTCGTGCGCACTGACGGCAGGAGAGAAGGGGCTAAGAAGGGATGGGACCCCAGCCCTCCTCATGGCAGGTGAGATGGACTGAGGGGACCCCCCATCCGGCTGCTGAGTCTCCAAGGAGCAAGCCGAGTGGCGTTCGGCGTGGCTCTGAGTTGGCTGAACCACGCTCCCAAGCGGTCAGAGAGCTGCTCTCTGCCAGGACACAGCAGATCTCGGTCTCTGACGCCAGTCTCCTCCTCCTGCAGCTCCCCGGAGCGGGAAAGGGGATTAGCATCCGT